CAATTACAAGCTATTCGTAACTTTTACAACAAATGCTCAACAAGTTTATCACAGTTCTTTTTATTTAATTGATTCTGTCCAGTTGTTACTCAGGACAAATTTTGATGGTGGTGCGTTTGAAGATTTGTCTGCTTCAGCCCAAATTTGTCATGTCATGGCAAACCATCCGCACTTGTAAAATGTTAGTGATGACAGAATATTTGTCTAAATAAACACCATTTTCACTGGTGCAGAAAGGCCCCTATGTTGAGAATTTTTTCATTCTCCAGGATTTGGCAAATTCCCAAATATTAAGTTGGAGATATGATGAACAGATGGGTAATTCTGAATTCTGGATTGATGGGGTTAGGTCAAGCTCTGGTCATGGCCTTGAGCGAGACTCTTTCTCCTTTTGATGTTCCATCACTGGTTGTTCAAAGGTTGAATAACACTCTCCACTAGATGAATCTCTATCCAGTGGATACAGTAGCTTGACCAGGGTTGGGTCAAGCTCTGGCCATGGCCTTGAGCAAAACACTTCCTCCCTTCGATGTTCCACCCTGACCCAGGTTGTTCAAAGGTTGAGTAACACTATCCACTGGATAGCATTTTATCTGTTATTGGCTCTTTATACAACTGGACCCTGTAGTATAAATTTAAAAAAAAGGAAAGTCTGGCCTCAACCCAAGCAGCTCATCCAGCCAGAGTTTTATCCTGACTTCTGTATTATGAAGCTACTTGGAGAGTTGCTTCCTTGCCCCCTTTGGATGGTATAGCTCTCAACTGCAGGTTATCCTGGGTCCTCTGCATGCTAAGCTTTGGGCCACCACCCCAAAAAAAAGAAATTCTTAAAGGGAACAAGGTGAAATATTGAGTACCTATTCACCTTTGAGTAGCAATATTGTCAGTTACTTATGCCTCAGAAACTGAGATACCTCCTGGCTTCTGTATCCTGGTTAGTCCTGTATGTAGGCTGAAATTGATGACTTTTATACATGTGGTTCCTTTCAGGGATTTTCACAGGTGCCATTGTTCTCTTAGCACTTGGGCTCCTGACAGACTCCTTCAAGTATATTCCAAAAGCATCCCTTGCAGCACTGATCATGTCATCAGTGGTAACCATGATTGAATATCACATTGTGCCAAACATCTGGAAAGTGCGGCGTATAGACTTGGTGCCTTTGGCCATCACCTTCTTTGGCTGCTTTTATGACATTGAAGTTGGAATTTTGGTTGGTATTGCAGTTGCATTGTGCATTCTCCTGTATTACGTGGTCTGGCCCCCCATTACCAGGGTTGCTAGAGGAGACTATGTGCTTCTAAAAATCAATGGAAATCTCAGTTATCCTGGCGTTGAACATCTGACCAATGAGATACAAGAAGTCACAGCCGCTGACCCTACCCCACCTGGAATTGTAATTGATTTTTCAGTGGTCACAAGCATTGACTTCACAGTCACTCAAGCCCTTCTGACAATTCTGGAAGAGATGGAAAACAAGAGAATTCCTATGTTCTTCTCTGGTGTCCTGGACAGTGTGCGAAATATGATGATCTCCTCTGGGATTGATTCAGGCATTATTAATCAAGGCACACAAGCTGTCATTGACTCAATTAATTCTTTGGAAATAGTTGAAAATTAAATCAATATTGAAGCATCATTTCTCTCAATCCAGGGTAATGAAGTTTTAGGAAACTATTTTGCTTACAGATTAGGCAAATGAAACACCAAACTTTTGATGGGTCCTTTAAATGACAACAGATGATTTATAACACTTTATATGGCAAGCTTTTAGGGGTATCCATTCACTCAAAATATCACTGGAATTACCAGCACATTTATTGGGTGAAAGTTTTCTGGGCCATACAAGTTTGCAGTATTGTTAGGAGACATTTTGATACTTTTTGATGATGAAGAGCATACTTCCTTTTCTTATTGTTGGAGCTCAAATGTTCCTTACCTCAGACAAATTTTCAAATATAGGTTCATGTGTTAATCCATTTCTTTTTTTTTTTTTTGTCTTACCAAGAGAAAACAACTGCAAGTCTTCTACTAAGGGCAAGCTGATTAGTTGTGTAAACTATGTAGGTCATATCAATGTGTTTAAAAGGACCACAAGAGTTTAAAAATTTCAAAGTTTGTCATTGTTTTGGAAACGTAGAGGTTTCATTGGTTTAGTTAACTATTAAGTAGGTTAGTCAGAGTGAAATATATTTAGATCATTGTTAAATTTCATTACATAAACCCAGAAAATTATTCATAATGTTATTTAAAGACATAATTTACCAATGATTTTACTTTCAATTCGACACATAAGTTATTTAAAATATATGCCACTGTGCAGAAAGACAGAGTTGATCTTTAGGTATAAGAAGATAAAACGAGCACCTCAAAAGACAATGTACTGAAAACTTGTCAACAGATACTACAGAAAATTTAGTATGAAAGAAAAAAATAATATCACATATTACAGTCATTAAAAGGAAAGAATGGTAATAAGCCCTGTACAAAATGTTGATTTGTGAAAAGTCAAATTAAAACAGTGCAAAGTATGAGCAATTGTTAAATCAATATTCCAACCATGTGAAAAAGGAAGATTTTGAAGAAAAACGATCTCTATTTCTTGAAAACAGGCAAAAGTTCAATAGTTTTGTAATAATTACTGTGACATTCCTAATTTCTCCTCTCCAAAGTTAGATTAGTTATGAACTTTTCCAAAGGTCAGGCAGGCTGACTAATCAAAAGATGCAAGGCAGAAGAACAGAAATATGGTTAATGTTGTTTCAATGGTTGCACAATATTTGGTTTGGATTAAAAAAATATATATTTTTTAAATTCAAAGCATACATAAGTATTAAAATGCAGATCTGTGCTCAGTTGTGTTAAATCCATTATATTATTCATCAAATATATATTAGATTGTGTGAATCATTCCATTTATATTTTTGGTGGGAATAGAGACATATTTTGGTTCAAATAGCTACAAAATAATTTTAGGGATGTACTTTATTAGAAATGTTTTGGTAAAAAATTTTGTACCACAAATTAGTTAATCCTATTTGATGTTGGAATTTATTTGAGACATGAATTGCAGACATAATAATTCATACTGCTCGTAAATACTCAATAAATTTATTGAAGGGTTGCAGAAACAGTAGCAAAGAAGTATGTCTACTTAGCTAGACAATTGGATGTTTTGTGTTGAATGAAATGCAAAGAAAATGTATATTGTAATTTAAGGGCATAGGGTTGAAATAAAGTGAGGACATGACATTTATCTTTTATTCCTCTTTTTCATTCAGCTTACCCTTTGACCCCTACAAGTGACTAACATCTAATTTCTCCTTACAATATCAATCCTGACTTGAATACTAAGGTCACATGGAACAAAAGGAAATTTTTACCTACTAAAGAACTTCTTGATTGTTGAACAAATTCTCCTCATCAGTATCATATGGAGAATATGCATACTAATGTTTGGATGTAAAGGATTACCAAATTTTGTGATAACTGATGAATGCACCCCATTGCAAGTTCGCCTCAAATCACTTTTGCGAGTTTGTCCTAAACTTTACCAGCTCACCCCTAATAATTCAACTCTTTTTTTTTTTTAATTCCTTTCATCACCATGAAACAATTTACATATGGTAGCTTGGGTACACACTGCTAAACATAGTTTGGATACTCAAATCATACAAAATTTGACCAAAACAATTTTTTTTCACACTTATAAACATGAATAAAGATGAAACTTTTATTGTTTCCTTAAGTTTCTTCATGTTTTTTAACTTTTCAGTCAAGTGGCTTGCCTTGTGATAAGTTGATAAAACACAACAGTTAAGTGTCTGTCAAGAGTGTTTTTGGGTCAGTGGGAAGTTCAAGGATGAAGCGAGATAGCGTGTTCTTAAAATTTGGTGTGAAAAAAAAGAACGAAATTGTGTCAAATCCACAATATTAAGACTGGAGTAAAAAAGCACCCTTTCTTTAATAAAGTGTTTATAACACGGATGGAAATTTGCATGTTGAACGAAAATTGTTATGGTTTTGCTGTGAAAATTACATGTTGGTGGCAAATATATCATGATTTTGATAGGGAATTAATATTTTCTATGGTAGGGAAACAAGTTAAAAGATTTGGGGGGAACTGGTGAAAGTGGGGGTGAACTTGAGCTTTTCAAGGGAGACATTTTTTTTTTTAAATACGGTCCGTTAAGGAGCAAACATTCACCATAAACCAATTTTGCTATGAACTAAACCATCTTCATGGTAACATTTTATACCGACACTTGATGTTGGCATCATGGAAGAGGTGCAATTTACAATATTTACATTTTAAGGTACAGCAGAAGAATGAGATCAGATTTCAGAAAATGAATTTTAACAACTCACTTCATTCTGATCCAGTCTCATATTTCATATTTTTCATAGCTTAATCAAACAGAACATCACCCAGAAAAGGCAATATAAATATATGTACAGCAAACTAATTTCAGACCCGCCCCATGACAAGGATAACTTTTTTACAGTCGGGAGCTTCTTAAATTGGCAATCATTTCTGTTATTCTCATGACCTTTAAATTTGATTGAAGAGTGATACTGTAAGGAGAAATTAGAAGCCAGTCACTCTAATGTGGAAGGACGTTTTTATCTCGTACTGGAACCTCCCCAAGCCCAAAAACAAATATGGTACTCCGTTATGTGCAAACGGAACCATGAAAAGAAGCCTATACCTGCTCTCAGTTCTTCGCGTCTACTTACGAGTATAATTTTCCACGGGATAAATGCCCACCCGTAAGCTCTTTCTCAAAAGTAGTGCTCGATTCTTAAAAGGTCGCACTACGGTAGTACCTCACCTTTCTTGTTACTACCTGTTTCCTCATAGGACGGATAGATTGCGTGACTGTATGCGTCCAGGCCTGGTACGCGTCGGTAAACTTCGTTTCTTTTCGTGCATTCTCGACACTCTCCGGAGAGTTCCATATGATAGCAATCCCCGTATGTAGAGCTGCCGACGTGGCGGACATTTATTGAGAGGCCTGCGTCTGAATCAAACACTCTGCTCGCGAAACCTACTTTCGTGCAGTTGACTGCCCGTTTTATTTTAGGATCTTTTGACCATATGCGAGCAGGATGAACATCTTCAGACTAGCTGGAGATCTCTCACATCTTCTGGCCATTCTAGTGTTATTATGGAAAATATGGAAAACAAGATCGTGCGCCGGTAAGTTAAAGACATCCTTTCAGAAATTGAACAAAACATTTTTCCTGTCCTTTTTCACGATAAATTTCTCGAGGGACATTTATCAGAATATGGCTCAACAAAGGGGTTTGCGTTCGCTAATTTTAACTGCTTTTTAGTTCTATAGTGATGTAAGACGCCAAACCTCTGCAATGAAACACTTGTATACATGTTTGTTGTACCAAGGACTGTTGTCTAATTTTTGTACACGTGTAACAACGGTACGGTGGCTTGTGTTTCATTTTGAGGAGCGATCGTTATAACCAACGTCTATGGAAGAAAAGCTTTACTATTTCACTGTTGCAGCTCTGTTGTTCAGGGTAAATTTCTCTTTGATCTTTATTTCGAACACTGAATTAAGATCTCCACGTCCTCAATAAACCCTTTGTACTACGCCTGACTGTTTTCGTGAATAGCAGTCTTGGGATCAGATATCATTTATCATCTGTGGAAAGGCTTCGTTGTCACTCAATCACTCACCAAGAATTACAGCAGTTTTTCTGGACGATGTTCCACAAAGAGGGACTGTTACTAAACGTATCATGAAACAACTATCCATTTTATCAATTGTCTGAATGAGCCTTTGGCTTCAAATCTTCAGTGAACGCTAAGGATTTCCCTTAACTTCTAAATGAATAATATTATACTGCAAAGTAATTAGATGGTATTAGCAGTTTTGCGTGTGTTGAAATCATACCCTTTATGAGCCAAAAGCTACCATTTATTTTTCCCTGAAACTAAAGATACCAGGGAATTATCCCCTGTAAATTAAAATTTTAGCTGATACAAAAATTTGTTTCTTTGTTACAATTTTCTCAAATGCAAAAAGTAGAGTAATCATTATCAATTTATTGTCAAGACAGTGAGTGAGAGAAACAGATGAGGTAGTATTTCTCAGAGCAGAGAATTCAACACGCTAATTTATTGCCAAGTATGCGGATATTTCAAGAAAACTTTGGCTGTAAATATATTTTGATATTTGGAGAAAGTGTTTACCTCTGTAATTCTGGGTTGTCTAAGAACTAATAAGCTGATTTCCTCTTTTGACTGAATTGTGTACAAACATTTAAAAATATTATTGAGAATAATTTAGATAATTGATAAATTTTAGAAATTTAGAGTTCATTACCTTGCTAGAAAATTAGTGTTGTGTGGTACAGTAATTCTCTTTCTGTAGAACGATAAGAGCAAGAGATTCTTTACAAATGTATTCATGCCAATGAACTATGGTATCGTAACTAACGTGGCAGAGGCTTGAATAAAAGCTGGTTACTGGCAGTTACCACTGCCTGAAGACCTTTTACTGGCATCTGTTTAGTGTGCAAGGAGGCTCTTGTGCTTGCGTTTTGCCTCACTGCCCCTTTTTCTGGACACAGCTGATTAATACACCATCAGCAGCAGTTTATCGTAAAATTTATTGAAATCCTAAGTGTAGTCCTTTTACTGCTATGGAGATTTTGGATATCAGATATTTCCATTAACACGTACTTCTTGTATTAAAAGCCAAAATACTTTTTCCATCAAATGTTAACTTTTTTCCATTTTTTCAGGTTTGTCAGGCAAGAGTCAAATACTTTTTGCCTTAGTGTTCAGCACACGGTACCTTGATCTGGTTTTGACATTCATCTCAGTATATAACACTGTGATGAAGATCATCTATCTTGTGTGTTCGTTTGGTACTGTTTACCTGATGCTGGTCAAGTTTAAGGCAACATATGACTCCAACCACGACACATTCAGGATCGAGTTCCTGCTTATTCCTGTGGCTGGTCTGGCTTGTTTAGTAAACCATGAGTTCTCAGTTCTGGAGGTAGATTAAGTCAAATAATAAGATAAACTAGCAAATTTTGGTATTGTAGAATGTACATTGCCTTAAAGGCTTTTCACTTTGGCAAACCAAAGCCTTTATTCATTCAAATTCACTGACTTTAAAAGAGTAACTTGTCATGTTTGTAATAGACTCACTCAACTATCCACATGGAGAAGAGGTCTTCACATTTCACAAATGTCTTCTTGACTTAACACATCACCAGCAATGACAAAAAAAATTGAACTTATAAAATATATTTGTAGCTCATAATGATTAACTTTTACTACTCTAGCTATCTGCTTCATCTTTTATTTATTGTTTTATTATTTTTTATAGTTTTATTCATCTCATTTTAGCTGGTTTATTTTTTATATTTTTTATATTTTGAGTATATTTTCTTTTTCTTTTTTTTAAATGTTTACTGTAATTATTGCAAGTAGACCTAGATTATAAGTTAATAACTTAATTTATTGAAAGAATCATTTTAAATTAATGTAATGAAGGTTAAAATCTCAGCTTGAAGGTAGCAGAAGAGCTGGATTTTGACAAAATGTCTAGACTTTCAAATTACATGTCCTTTTCAGTGCAAAGTAACTTTGGTAAAACACTTGTGGCTTTAGCCCTTTAAACCCTAAGAGTTACCAGCATCTAATTTCTCCTGACAGTAATACTGTTGAATGATTCATTAAGACCATGAGAATAACAGAAATGATCATCAACCTAGGAAGCTTTGATTGATAAACAAATTCTCCTTGTCAGCACCAAAGGAAATAAATAAATTAAGAGTATAGAGAATATAGTTACTGATGTCAGGGTGTTAAGGGTTAACTTTAGGCTCTGTCAGATGAGACATTATAATTTAAAACTAGTTACCTCTTACTCTAAATTTAAAATTAATAATTAAGAATAACTACAACAGTAATTCTTGAGAGAGAAAAGGGTAACAAAAAAAAACCCAAATCCAAACAGCTACACTTCCTCCCATTTCAAAACATGATTGAAGTACAAGGAGTTTACAAAGCAAAATCATTCATGCATACATCCTTTGTTTTTTTAAATTAATTTGGTATTTACATGTATTTGTTTGTTTCAGTACCAGCAAAGGCAAAAATTACCACATCCCCCATTCGAAGTTGCTATCGAGGCAAGTTTTTTGACTTGTCTTAAAAATCAGTTTTTCCATTTTTGTTAACAACTAGTATCAAGTAACTGATAACATCGGAACTATGACCTTTTAACTATAACAATAATAATAATCCATAAAATATTAACTAATCACATTCTAGTAGGACCCTGCACCTATGAGATTCATGTGTAGTGTAAAAAAGAGTGTAAGAGTGCTTTTTCTGTGTGTTCAGTAGGTTATTAGGCTTACCAGCTGTTTTGCTTGGAAAAAGATTAAACCTAAAATCAGAGAAAGCTTATGAAGGAGCTCTAAGGCAAATAGATTTGCAAGATCTTCCGCAAAACTTGGAGTAATAGAGAAATGAAACTTTTTTGAGATAAGAGTGTTATGCTTGTTCAATTGAAATAGGCTTATGATTAACACCATCAAATATAAGATCACAACTTGAGATGATATTCAAAATTGGATTGGAGTAAAACCTGCTGAAGACTGTAGGGAGTCCAAATGATTTTCTAGTGGCTGTCAAATTGGATGACTCATGAAAAAGAAATTTCTTTCATGAAAGGAGGATGTGTGAGATACTTGAGTTCAAGATCATGGGGTCCTACTGAATAACATTTGCACATAACCATCATTTAACAGAACATTCAATACAGTTTTAATTATCACTGTAATTCCTTTTGTTTTTTAACGTTTTGCTGTAAAGGCTAATCCTGGTTTGGTGATTCATGAATTTCAATAACTTTCACTAATAACAACTAAAGGACAATTGAAACTTTTTTCACAATCATTTAATATTTTCCACTTTTAATATCAGGTTCACTTGCAAATTTTTTGCATTTAACCCTTAAACTCCCTTGAGTGACCAAAACAGAATTTCTCCTTACATTGTTAATACAGTATCAAACAGGCAAATGATTAGAATAAAGAGAGAGATAAAATAGGGGATTATTAGTTGACCCAAAAGCAAGCTCTCCAAAGTAACATAATTAGAATTGTACAGATGATGGTAAGGAGAATCACAAATGAGATCTTGGGAGAGGTAGGGTTAACTCAAAAAAAGAATGTTAATGGTTACTCAATCTGTTAGTTCATCTTGTGTAATTGTCTGGTGAAGGTAGGGCTGTTGTTGGTGATAGTAACTTCTTTGACTGACAGCACAGGGAGATTTAAGCAGTAGAGTTGTATTCCAATGAAGTGGGATTATTTCACATAAACTTCAGAGATGTTCTCTACTCAGGTTGTGAAAAACATCCAATTGCCATCAACAGGTGTACCTTAACCAGGAAAATAACACCAAAATAAAATGAACTACTGTATACAAGTGTTTTTAGGGTGCTAGGGTAGATGAAACTATCTTGTGTATAGTCATTACAAAGATGATTGAAACACTTATAACTGCCTTAGCTTGAAATCTTTGGGAAAGAATATATTTTCCCATTGTACTAAATTCCGCTAATTTCAGTCTGGTATAAATGCACAACACTCGTAGAAACCTAGTTTTGTCTTTATAATTATCACTTCATTTTCAGGAGAAGTCTTAATTTTTGTACTTGCTCATCACATTTGAATATTTAGGTTTTCACAGACAAAATGGAGGTTTAGGACAAGAAGAGGCTTTTTGGTGATAAGAAATGCCTCTTAACAACAATTTCCTTTTCAACTGCTTCTCTTACACAATCATCAAAGGAACTATATTGTAATCTTATTGAAGCAGATTAACTCTCTCTGTAGATCTTGTGGACCTTCTCCATCTACTTGGAGTCAGTAGCCATCTTGCCCCAGTTGTTTATGATATCAAAGACTGGTGAAGCTGAGACCATCACCAGCCACTATTTGTTTGCACTTGGTGCCTACCGTGCTCTGTACATCATCAATTGGATCTACCGATACTATTTTGAGGGATTCTATGACTTTATTGCCATTGTAGCTGGATGCGTACAAACAGCGCTTTACTGCGACTTCTTCTACTTGTATATTACCAAAGGTAAAGATGAGTATATCTTTTACCGAACTTGATCTTCAGCATTGTTGATCATTTAAGTGTGAAGCACTCTTTTTTCAGCATTAAGAGTTCAACACATACTTTTTCAAGTTGGGAAGAGCAATGCCTTTATATTTCACTTGGGAAATAACTTTTTCTATGCAGGAAGTGTCACTTGCATTAGCATCATTTCTGATTCGAACATCAAGATCATAAAAAAGGAAATGTTCACCAACCCTTCACAAGCCCTTGATTCTCAAACAAATTCTCCTCTTCATTACCATAGGAAATGTATAGAGAACAGTGTGGAGAATTAGCAAACTAATTAACAGGTGTAAAGGGTTAAGCTGCAGAAAAACCAATCTGAGAACATTTGAAATCAAGAGATTTCCCCCTTACTTTTGAATGTGTTGATTTACCTCTTCTATTTGTCTCTTTCCTTTAAGTGAGTGTCACAAAAAAAAAGTTTCACAACAACTTAAGTTTGCAAAGAGAATGATTGTATGTTGATGATGATAGCATTTACTTGATTTTGCCACTTCTACACAAAGAAATATCCACACTTCCTTTATGCAGGAGACTTGGCAGATTGTATAAGAGACTGGGTGGTTTTTTTTGTTTTTCTGCAAGACTGTATTGTAATCAAGGGTAACTAGCATTTGTGAAGTAGTTGCAATGTATTTTTCCGTGATTGAGTTGACTAATAAGATAATAGTCTTCTTTCATATCCACTTTGATGTTTTCTCAGAGATAACACATTCCTCTATCATATTTCCTCTTTTATAGTTCTTAAAGGGAAGTCTCTGAAGTTACCAGCGTAAAATGACAGGAAAGAGACGTTTGGTTCATCCGAGCAAGATGACAATTTGCTAGTAAACTTGCAGAAAACATATCACTGTAATTTTTAGTGTAACATTAATTAATTCCATGAGGTGTCCAAGCTGTTTTTTCATCTGAATATTTTTGTAGTTTCGTGGTTGGTGTTTGAAAACTGTGCAGTTGGAGTGTTTAACTTGAGCTAACAACTATTACATGGAAAGTCTTTATTGCAGTTGTATGTTTAACTCCATTTTTTAGCAAGTGAATAAGTTGCTTTTCAGTGTAATCTTATAAAGAAATCAGAAATGATTAACTTAATTGAGAAAAACAAAGAAAGTATAGTTAACAACAAACACATTGCATAATCTTCATTTGGAATTATTTGCATGCTTACAGAGATTGCTATATCAAGCAGGTTTATGTCATAGAGGACAAATTTATTATTGCTTAAACCTTTAAGTATCATTATTAATTTTTTTTTTCATCCATTTTCATTCCTTGCTGGTCTTGATAATTATTATGCAAACAGTAGTAAGAACCAGTAATTTGGAAACAATCCAATTAAGTTCTTTTGGAACTGGAACATTAAAGACAATTCAAGTTATTCTTTGCATGGAAGCCAATGCGGTCATACAAAGAAGAGCACTTTCATGTCATCCTAATCTGAGAGAATTTCAATCAGCCCAGGAAAATTTGGAGGACCACACCAACTAACTGTCTACATGTTTTCATTAAAATTATCTTCTGTTGCAGAAATCCATGATAACACAGTTTTTCTCTTCCTTTATTAATTCAGGAATCACTTTATCTGAAAATAACTGTGTATTTAATTTAGTCGGTAGGGTTTGAGTGTAATTTTTTTTTAGAGGGTCTTTTTAATACTATCAGTGTTAGATATTAATGTTCTATTAATATGTAATGCTAATAAATAACTTCAAGTGCTTTGGTCCTCCAATGTTTGATTGTCTTTCTTATAATTAAGCAATTACATATAGATTTAAGTTAAAGTTCTTATTTTATGAATGATAAATAGACCTGTCTTACATTTCTGTCCACCAATCCACTTCAGGGTTAATGGGCAGTTAAGATATCTTGGTCTTCATCAATCATGTAACCAAAATTAAACTTAGTGGAGATTATTGGGATAACAATCTCACATTCAATAGAAAAGTTTTCTGTGCAAATTTGTCACAACCTTGCCTTGCTTTATATTTACTGAGATACAGATGAACTAACCACTGGAGAAGCACACTAAAAACATTTCACTAAATTTGCCCTTTAGACTCCATTGAGTATGGAAGAAATGTAATGTATAAGTCTTCTCAAGAGTGGATTTAAAGTGATGAGGGTGTATTTTGAGCCAGGTAGAGAAAAAGCCCATCAGATGGATTTCATTTATACCACCTAAACAATGTAGACTTGGAAGTTGGCAAGTGTTAGTGTAAAGTTGCATTTAAATGCTGCTTTACTGTGGTGAGAGCTTTCATCAAATGAAATAAAACTAGAAAAAGCATATTTTTATGCTCTTGGTGTATCTAACCATACCAAACCCAGAGAATTGTTCCCACGGAAATGAGAGTACGTTAAGACAAGCAATGACAAACCAACTAAATATGCATGTATCTGGATCCCCCTGCTTCCAGACACCACTCACCTCAACCTACTGAAAATAATGCCTTCTACCGCCGCAGAGAAAGAACTGGGAAGGGTCGTGTCCGAGAATGAATTAAGGATTGTCAGGAATTCATCCATAAAATAAAGCTTTTTGAATAATGCTTTGTTTTCGCTACAGTTAAAGAGCTCAGGCTTACGTCTTATTCTCTTCCCCCACGTTTCTCTCTTAACCCTTTCCACCCTAACAACAGTATGCATACTTTCCATGCTGTTCTTTAATCACTTCCTAAGATTCCGACATGGAGAATTTGTGTAACTGATCAAGAGCTTCTTTGGTCCGTGATCAGCTCCTTTATTCTCCTGACCTTAATGTGTGATTCAGGGGGTATGGTAAGGAGAAATTATATGTCAGTCACTGTTAGGGGTTAAAGGGTGAAGGCGCGCACTTATTTTTCTCTCGCTTCTGAATGCGAAATACGTGCTTTGGACAGGCTTCAAGAATGGCGGACACCTAATAAGGCGTGGCAACTAAGCAATCTCCGAGAAACTCCTCTAGACAGATGAGTCACGAGACATATCTAGTTTCGATGGTTTGCTGTTTCGATACGCTTTCACTTTTCACGATGATCCCTTCCTCATATTTTTGACGGAATACTGCCTCATTCCAAATGACATTTTCCCTGAAAAACATCGACGATGCAGGATTTGGGCTTCGGGAAGGCTCGAAGTTGGAGAGTTTTCTTAACCGGAAATCAGTTGCCGACCATCTCGAAACCAACAACGAGTTAGTGAACGTTTGGGGAAGCTGTGGTCATGTCTTTGTCGCTACTAACGCTGGCCGAAACTTGCACGCTTTTGAATCCATTCCTCGAGCTAAGTGGACACCGGAGAGTGAAAGTCTTCTTTTACAAGGTTAGGGGGTTGAAAAGTTCTTTGTAGACAACGCGTGGTATCATGCTATAATGGGATGTGGCAATGTCATTTTTATTTGAAGTATTCGTTCGAAGTTGTGTATTTTATAAGGCCACCTTGGGTCCTGTACGTTAATTTTGACACCAGGAACGTGTTGTATTTCTTCCGATCGTGAAACTGGAGAGGAATGAAACATTTTCTTTTCTTTATTTTGAAACAATTTCAAATGAACTCTTTAAATTCTCCTCCATCCAAGAAAAATAAAACAGAGAAACCAACAAAACTTTCGTTAGGGTTGTATGAGCTACCTCTCGGAGTCAGTGCGGGTCACTTCTCTGACATGTCAACTTGCCAACAGCCAGCTCACTGACACCATCAGTAAACTTGCTGACAGTCATCTTTGGTCAACTTGCTGACATACATAATTTTAACTTTGTTTTCAAAGGGAACATAAACAGTGCTTTAAGCCAAAAAATGGTAACAAAAATTAGTGTTGGCAAGTTGAGTAGTGGTGTCAGAGAGTTGACTAAAAGTGTTGGCGAGTTGAGTTATGGTGTCAGCATGTTGGTTGTCAGGGTGATGACATGTCAGCAAAGTGACCAGTAACCTTGGAGTCTTATCAGGGGAATGTTTCCAATGATTAACAGTTCTCCACCCAAATGGAAAATGTGTTTTATAGACCTGTAGCTAAGAATTTTATGTGTAATTGTATGGAAAAGGTGACACAAACTGTCATTGAGAGTGTCCCATCATTTTTATCTCATCATGCAAAGTTGATAAGTAGTTAATTAGGAGCAACACCAAATCATACCTATTTGTTGCAAAGTGGTTTTGTATTTTTGCATGCAAATTTCAGCATGAAGAATATACATGCAGATAGTTGCCATGATTGCAACCACTATGTGCATACATGTGGGTTTTTCAATCCCTATACTCTCCTCCAGACCACTCAGTTGGGCTTACTGCAGTCCCAATTTGCACCTCTATTAAATTTTTCTGGAAGTGGATCTTGGATCGTTTGAGGGAGGATCAGGAGCTCTTTTCCCAAACAGCAGTTGATAATTTAGCCCAGGCTTACTGTGCCACATAATCCCTTCTCCCTCCCCGGAGAGAGAATAATGCTTTAAGGTCACTATAAATGAGCCATGTTGGGGTTCCAATGTTCCTTTTTATCTTCTTTGCTTGGTTTTTTTCAAAACCAGTCTGAAAAAACCACTGGTTTGAAAAACTTAAAACCAAGAAAAAGTTTGAATCCAAAGACATAAAGACCTATCCACTTTACCAGTTAAACCTCAAGAGTGACCAGCATTTAATTTCTCCTCTCAATAATACTGCTAAATCCTAGTCCCTCTCAATTGAATTATTTATGTTAAAGAAAAATTGTTTTATTTTATTTTATTTGACAGACCAAGAATCTCCCATCATAAGTGTGCTGTCTAGCAATGAAATTCCATCTCTTATATTTATCATTCACCAAAACAGCATCACAGAATGTTGGGAATTCACTCAGTCAAATTACAAATGGATGAAGAAGAATGAATTTCAATTGAGTAACACGAAGGGAGTCGAGATATTTCAAGTTGTACTTCATCCTCTCGTAAACTCTTTCTTCTGGTGTGAAAGGCGATCTGTCTCTGCATCAAATTTAATCAGCTGTTGTGTCTGTATGAGACAGGTGATCATTTCTGAGAGGCTTGGGAACAATACTGTAGTGTCTGTCGGCCCATTGGAGGCTATTCTTCATGGATGCCCTCCTATGTCACTTCATGTCATTAGCCGAAGTGTTTGCCTTGTTCCTGATTTTCCAGAGGAATTGAGATGTTTTGTACTCTTTTGGACATTTGTTCAGAGGTCCTTAAAGGTTTGTTAACTAAGCTTATCTATCAATAGACAGATAAACATTTTTCTTAAGTGTGGGACACAGAAAAAATCTGAGTTCCTCTTAAGGATTTAAACCCTGTTGGCTCTAGTTTGTAGGCTTAAGCTCTATGTATTAAGCTGATCCTCTAACACCAATATCTAATTTCTCCTCCAATCAAATATCTAGGTCGTGAGAATAAAAGAAATGATCACCAACAAAAAAACTCCTAATTATAGAGAACACTATGGAGAATTCACATACTGGTGTTATTGAAATCATACTAATATTTTGTTTTTTTTATGGTAGATTTACATATGGAATTATGGTTTTGTTGGAGATGTAGATAAATTTGACTTTAAGGCAATAGTTGCAGAATTACTTTGCCCATGGACCTCAAGCACAAAGAATAACTTACATCATCTGGTTGCAGTTACATCTCATCCTACAACAAATGAACTTCTCGTAATTGACAGTGGTTTGGAGTTATTACTTGTCAAGCTTCAAGACAGTGATCCAGTTGTAACTTCCCTTGTTAGACTCCAAACAGATTCTTTGATTTTTCATAATGACAAAATTTTACATCTCTTTGCTTTTGGTCTCATTGTTGGTGTTGTGTGGTTTTCTGGTAAACTTTCACTTTATGATGTTGGTTGTGGAGCTGAAATATGTGCACTTGAAGACTTGAAAGGACAGAAAGTCCATGTTTGGAAATGCTCTCACTTGGTTAATTCCATTGGATTTTGGTCAGTCAATGGAATTTGGAAGCTTCAATCTGGAACAGTACTTGAAATTGCAGATTGCATCAAGTCCTCTGTTAATTCATCACAATGTGCAAGAGGAGAAAACAATTCCTTTGTGACTCAACAAGAGTCAAATGAATCTTTATGCAGTAATGATCCAAGCAAAAGTTTCTTCATAGCAGATGATTCATTGCTAAAAACTGAATTGGACACTTCATCAGAAAATTTTTTGATTCCTGAAATAGCGAAAGATCAACAGAAATGTGAGAGATCATCAGTTGGTTCTGGACAATCTAAGCACATTGGTGAAGAAGGTTTTTCTGGTCCTCTTTTTGCAGTGAGTCATTTGACTAAGTGGAACTTAACCCACAGGGCAGCCAAGCTGGCACTGGACTCAATTGTTTGCTCAGGAATCCTTTCAGGTTCTCCTGTGGCATTTAGTGAGATCCCTGAAGCTTTTCTCCATTTGTTGGTCAGTTCCCATTCTCAGGGCCCTGCAATTGCTCTTCTGTTGCTCTGGGAGCATCCTGTACACAGAGAATTTGTTTTGCTAGAACTTGAACAATACATGAATGATCTAGGCAAGGACAAAAGTCAGCCAAAAAAGACACTTTTGAATGAGTTGTTGCATCCATATATGAGTGAATTTCTCCTACTCAATAAACAGTGTAAGTCAGTAAATGATCCCAGTGTCATGGAAATAATGCAGTCACCCACCCTACCTACAAACTCTGTTACACAGGAGATCTTCAGCTTGTTGGAGACATTTGACAGCAGTCCTCTTGAAATGGTGCCACTTGAAAGGCTTAGCACATTGAGTCGTCAGCATTCACACAAGGTTCTTGAGCATGTGGCAGATTATTTGAAGATTGATTTTGAGGAGGATGAATTCACAGAAAGTCAGTGGCAGCAACGATGGAGAAAAATATACAGGTTTGTAACAGTCATATACAATAGAAATCTTTCTTACTGTTAGCAATGATCTTTAACACAACAACACCATGACTTCAAAGCCAGCTCTAGTGCCTCTCTCAACATTTTTCCATTCTTTTCAATTGCCTCCTTGACGTACTTAATACATTAAAAGTTAGAGACTAACAGTTAAATCTATGGGACTGGAGATGTAAAATACACTGACCTCTAAAACTCAACACAAGTTAAAAAATTGGAAAAAATATAAATCCATTTGTGTTGGTACAGGACCTCTCAGAGGAGTTGGAAGTTAAGGGGTTGATTAGGTGGATTTTCTTCACATTCACACATTTACTTAAACATTTGACCCTAAGAGTGATAGAAATCTAATTTCTCCTTTCAATATCACCCCTGAATCCCATATTAATGCCACTAGAATAAGGGAAATGATCACCAACTTAAGAAGCTCTTGATTGTTAAACGAATTCTCCATGTCAGCACCATAGGAAATCTATAGGTTATTATGGAGAATAAGCTGATTGATGTTAGGATGAAAAGGGTTAATGACACATTTTGCATTAATCTTACCAGGATGTCACCCCTAAGCAATATTTTGGTCAAATTTTCCTGCAACAATTTTTTAGTGTAAATGTAAGACAAGGTGCACAAGATGGATCATTCTGTTGTTTTTAATATGAGGAGTCTGGAGTAGACAGACAGTAGAATGACTTCTAGAAATGTCTCTTTTAGAATTGACTGGAGAAGCGGTAGATGGCAGAGAAGTAAATTAGCTCTCAAGGACCCATATAATGCAATGTTGAACATTCTTCTACGGATGTTTTATGAGTCAAAATCTAATTGGTTGGTGAAATCAGTGGAGAAGGGAATTGGGACAGTACGGATGGAAGAATCAGATGACAGATCAGAGGTTTGAAATTTTCATAAGGGTTTATTATTGTGTCTTCTTGAACTGGTATCAGGCCCATTGATAATTATAGTCGTTATAGCATTATAGCCATGCAATCAAGGTCTGAGAATTTCTTTGCTGTGTTTTTTCATTTCAATTTAATTTTTCAGTTAGTTTAACAAACATTTGTGGTTGTTGTTGTTTTTTTTTATGTTTTTTTTTTGTGACTTCAATTTTCTAAAGGAAAGTAAATCTATAAATCTATAGAAATGGGGGGGGGGGTGTGTGGAGCTTGAAATGAGCTGTCATTCAATTTCAGTTTATTTTTTAAGACCAACTGGCAAGTACAGAGTATAGCAACTCTAAATGCAATCCTACAGGACTGCAACATCAAGGGCAATCCAAGAAGACAACAATGCTAAATGCAATCCTAAAATACTGCACTGATTTGACAATTTCTCTAAACATCAAAACACCAAACTACTGTAGATCTACATCACGCCTATTTTTGTGAATTGTGTTCCGGTTTACCTTGGTCCTATTTTAACTATTAACACTTTCTTTTTGCTGTTTTCTAGGAATTTGTCACCCAGTCTGTGTTGGAGTGTCTTCCTGTTTTAAGTATGAGGCACACCAATGCCAAGTCAGTCTTGGCACACTCTCAGCTGTGTTACTCAGCTGGGCAAGAGATACAAGCTCTGCATTTACTTCTAAGTCACCAAATGTGGAAAGAAGCCATTGACTTTATTTCTCATTGTGGAGAGGGTAGTGAAAATCCAATGTTACTTTTTATCATGTTGATAAAGGGCCTCCAGAGCAGGAAGGCACCTAGTAAGATGCTACTAGATGCCCTCAATTTAAAGCCCAAGGACTTGAGCACTGATGAGATTCTGGCAGTACTGAAGGATCAAGCCATTGAAACTAAGGAACCTTTTGCAAAGGGTGTAGGACGGACAACTGTGGGTGAAATGAGGCCTTTTCTTGATGCCCTCTTTTCCTATGAGTTGTGAAACCATAGTTTTCCATATAAGATATCAAACTTAGCAAAATATCACAGATATTGCATTAATGTTTCAGCCTTTTCACTCCCAAAATCTCCTTTAGTTTGTCATTCTCCTTCCTGTTCGTCATACAACTCCTATGAAGTGAGTTT